GGTAGACAGTGGATTGGATCTATTGTGTGGGCCCAGAGCAGATGGGTTGCGATAAAGGGTTATCACCTGAATATACAGTGTGCGACATGTTCAGTGAGAACAGATTATGTTAAAGGGGATTTAAAGCGGTGTAACATTTGAAGCATGTTGCTTTGTAATGGCAAATAAAGATCACGGAGGACAATGTTGAATATCCTGATCCATCGCGTTTTGACTTCCATGATGGGCTTAGGATAAACCACTCGGAAAATATCTGATGGATATTATCTGTTGATTTGGTGGACCACGTCTCAATTTTCAAGGTTTTTTGAAAACCTACTTTCATGCTAACTGAGCCCACCCCCTGTCAGTCTGTGTGATAACAACCAGCACCTGATCTCATCTGATCTGACCCTGCTCTCATCCAGGACTTTATTCCAACCACAATTACACCATACCGGATGGATGATCTCGCACTCATTACCCCTCCATATCGGAGACCCTGACTGAACGAATCTGTCCCCTCTGGTGAGTGTGTGGCAGGTGGTGTGGCGACTTGGCCCCCGCCCCAGTCCTCGGCCCTGGCGCACTGATAAGAGCTCAGCGTGGAAAATCAGACAGCGGCACTCTGGCCTTTCAGATGCGAGCCGGAGAAAATGAGCCGTGAAGGAAATCGGAGGTGATTATCTTTATTATCAGCCAGGGGAGTAACTGTGGAAACGGCGACCTGTGGGGGGGGGGGATGCACAAGCTGTTCCAGCAACATGCTGATTGGCCCATACAAGCTCCAGTGGTAATTAACATCTGCATATGCAAACGAGTGCTCCAGCTAGGGAAATTTGGCAGGCGTTTCTCACCTGCACCCTGTGCCTGAAAGCAGCAGGGTAGTTGAGTTTGTGTCACCGTGTGTATGTGTGTGAGAGTGTGTGTGTGTGTGTGTGTGTGTGTGTGTGTGTGCAGGCGCGCACACACACACACAAAATAAAATTATGTATGTTCTGTGACTTCATATTCATAACACAACCCTGTTCTAGGGTGCACTTGTGTATTTTAATGTTCCTGTGCATTTGCATAGCTGAAAAATACTTATGCCTGCACTTTTTTTTAGAAGCACAGCTGGTTTGGGTGGACCGGTGGGGGCACTGGGTCAAATGGACGCCATTCTCCCACCTCTTTGTTTTCTGCTGTGCCGTGCTAAAAGAGAGGAGGCCACACAACCAGAGGCTGTCAGCGGGCCTGCTGGGAGAGGCTCATTACCATCTCAGGGAGCAGGGACAAGTCGCGTCCAGAGAAAGGCACTGATCGTCAGCCTGGCCTGCTGATAGGGACACTCACAGTGCTCAGAAAAGTGTGAGAACTTGTTGTCAGCAAATGGCAGAGGGAGACTTTCTATACATGAGTGAAGCAGTTAATTAATAGCTGTTGCCCTTTTCATTTGAACATGCATGTTTGCATGAGTCCAGTGTCTCGTGATGCACCTGTATCCTTATGCGTGTCGTTTTCGAAATTCATACTGTTTCCTGTGTGTGTGTGTGTGTGTGTGTGTGAGACACACGCTGCTATAAGAGTCTCTGACCTGTGAATTATGCAGAGCGCCCACTGACGTGGCCGGCGCGTGTTGTGCTGTGGAGTTCTAATGAGAGAGAGGCTAGCGGGCGGCAGACAAGACGGGCTGCGGAGCAGACTGAGAATGGCAGCCCCAACAACGGGAAGCCAGCCTATAAATAGAGCCTGTGCTGAGAGTTTATGACACCTGGATTCACATTCGTTCGCAATTTCCCTCCGACCAACTTCCACACCACCCACATCTCTTTCTTGTGTTCTTCTCGGCCTCCGGGCTGCCTCTAATGTCTTCTCTCTCTGTCAAAAGTTTTTTTTTTTTTTTTTTTTTGCATCTTTCTTTCTATTAACTTTCTCCTGCTCAGATGGTCATGTGTTTTGGGATATCTCTTCCTAAGTATTGAGAGACTGATGCACTCTTGGTTTGGGCCTTTTCATTTGTTTTTTGACAACAACACTTGGGCTTTGTATTGACAAGAATCTGCCGATACGATCGCCATACAGGGATTACGATTAAAAAGATTGCGCTATATTGTGATACAACAGGGTGATATATTGCAAGTTTTTAAGGAGAACTGTCATAATATAAAAACACCACCATGTGCATTAAATCTGAGTAAAACAAGTTTAATTTTGTAACTCAATCAGAACAACGGGATTTGCATTTGCATTTATCAAAGTCCCTGTAACATCCAACATCACAGCACTTCTTTTGTGAAATCTGAGCCTCTGACTCTGCCACAAATCTTTGCATGTAAACTATCATTCTAAAATCATTATATAGAAAAATACAATACCACAAAACATAATACTGCGATGCTGAAGTGTTTCAAAATGTTCTTACACCCCAGACTATTGCCAGATTTATCCTGAGAAAGCTGATTCTGAACAGAACCTTTGCGTTACTGCCTATGACCTGCATGCATAGATCTAAATGATAGATGGTGTGCAGGTATACAGCGTGGTGAGAAGCCCCTTACAATGCCCCAAATTGTTCCATGCACTCATCAGAGGCAGCTCGGGGTGTTTGTTCAAGGACGCTTGGAGTTGTCTCCCATAAATCTAACCTACAGAATGAGTGCTTTTCGGCTACAAAAGCAGAACTCTGCCAACACCACAATGCAGAATAATACGGCACATTTCTTCCTTATCAACCACATGGCTACAAAGTGGCAGATGTGAGCTACAAATCCCCAGTGCAGCGGTTCTCCTCACTTTGCCCCAAAGAAGATCTCGACCAGTGGCAATGGGAAAACAAAGACATTTACCAACCATCGGTATCCGAATGAGAAGCACTGGGGTCCAACACAGTGTCAGGGTTTGTTTCATTGTGAAATGAACACCCGAATATTCCTCAAAACGGAGCAGAAATCACCGCCGGCATCGTCTTGCAAACTCACATTACCGTAATTATTTTAGAATTTGCCTCGTAATCCAGGCTGAGAATCCTACCCAGAACGAATGGGATGTCAGCTTTATGCAACTACTTGTAAAGGCATTACAGGGCGTTAAATCCCGCGTGGATTTGAATTGGTCTCAGCAGTACAGGATTAGGAGCAGCGGGGATTAGACCTTCCCTAGAGGAAATATAGGAGCAGGGGTGGCCAAGAGACTCTAGATAAAGAATACATATTGCTTGATAACAGGCTGCAACAGGAAGCGGAGAAGCATTCTTTACCACGACTCCATTCTTCTGTAAACTGAGTCTAACTACACTTTTTTTTGTTTGTTTGTATTAATGTCATGTATGAAGGACCACTCGTCTCTCTGTCTATACGATCAGTTCAATCTTTTGACACAGGTATGACACCATTATTCTTGTGGTGCAAAGTGGTTGCCAGAATGTATTTTCTCACAGTGTGGATGATGAAAACAGCCAGAAATCACAACGTGATTATTATTACAGAATAAGGTGGTAGACGCAGTGAAGGACTTCATGGGCACCTGTACCTCCTTCTCCATAGTCTGCCCACTCACATTGTTTTCGGTTTTCTTTCCTCTCTGAAAAAATACAAATGCACCAGGAAAAGATGACAAACGTTTGAGCCTGTGCCTCAGTGGTCATCCACAATCATCCTCTTGAGGAATCAATGACCTCGCAGCGCCATTTCACTCCAGCTAAACACGCTGGCCCCAACACTTCCATGAGCAACCTAATGTGATTGCAGCCCCTGTGGTGGCGCAAAGAAGCCGAGCGCCAGTGTGCGCTAACAGACTTGCATTACGGACAAAACGGCCGCATTTCAGCGTGTTATAGCCACGGGCTATTCTGTTAGCCGTTGGCCAGGAAGGAAGTGAGTGGGAAATGCAGGATGAAGCCAGGCGATGGGGAAGAGAGATGGCCTGTGTCTCCTGGCGCCTGAACGCTGCGGGGGGGCTGGGGATGTGTCTGACAGAGGCCGAAATTGGCATCACCTTCGGAGAGAGGATTTCAAACTGTGAGGCCCGGGGAGGGAGAGGCGTGAGGCAAATAATATACTGCGAGAGATGAAAGGGACGGGTGTGTTCCAAAAAACAACGGGAATTTAGTTATTGTGGTTTGGCCCGCTGATCAATACGATCATGAGTAACAGCAGGCTATTTGAGACCAGGCCATGCATGCTTCTCACTCAGCCAAATGTCAACACACACAGACGTAAACAAAAACGTGACTCACAGACGCTCCTCTCCATCTTGCTCGAGAATGATCACATTTGAACCTTTCTTCAGTATCAAACAAATCCAGTAATGTTTGTCTGTAGGCATAAATCCATGGGCGCAATGTAAATATTTAGTTAATTCGGCACACGATTACAAAGTGAAGTCCAAATATGCGGTGCTGAAGTTGAAGCACGTGTTTCATGCTGAATCTTTGTAAACATTACACTTCCTGTTTACATTCCCCAAAGCATTGTGGGAACTGGTTATGATTCTGTCGTCTCTATTTATCCAATTTGGGTGGTTGCTCAACAAAAAGACACGAATACAGATTTCGGCTCTATGCAATTTTTAACCAGCAAAGTTTATTTATATATAACAACAGTACAAAGTGAATCCTTGGCTTGCAAAATAGGTGTGCTTCATATTTACAATAGGTACACAATAATATATTATCATAACAAAATCAAAGCAAATAAAAAAACAAGAGAACAACCTTTTTTAAATACTTTAAGTTTCTTACAATTTTCACAACACTTTTATAAAACAAGAAGAACAGACAGCCATTATTATTATCATCGTCATCATCATCGCCAGTAATTACTATTTTACAGAACTCCAGTGTCTACAAAGGGTTTGTTTACAATGTGTTTAAAATGGAAGGATACTCATTTTATACTTTGTGATATTTCGACTTGAGAGTAATACATTGGTCAGGATTTCAATTACTCTGTCTAATGCCAAGAAGCAAACAAAATGCTGATTAAATGCTTTGTTTTGTATAAGGAATGACACGTGCCAGTCTAAAAACCACAACACCATCTCTTCGGCAACACATGACACCGAGAGCAAAAAAAAAAAAAAAAGTGCACAAAGCATCTTCAATTAGCAATTAGCTTGAGCTGAAAAGAGGTTGTGTTTAAGACAATCTATCTATATCTCACACAACTGGCAGTCAATTGGGATTCTGCGCTGCAGAAAGAGTAAACTCATTTTTCTCTTCTCAAGTCAAACTGAATTTAAAACTCAGAAATGAGTGTACAGCATGGAGACAAGCTATATCTGGTGACAAAAAAATCTCTTTCACGAAAAAAAAAAAGGTGCATTCAGCTGTGATGCAAGATGTGCACAGATGGGCTTTCGGGAAGAATTGCAGTTCGACTAATGATGGCGTGGATCGATATGGAATACCGAGCAGAACTAAAGCATGAATTAAAATGCATGCACAAATCTCACACAAGACAAAAGGAAACATCCTGATATGAATGATCTCTGAGAGAAAAATCAAAGCCACTTTCAACCAATTTGTGTGCCTCTGATTACGTTAGTCACAATTCTGAATACAGGGGAGCTCGTGTAAGGGTTGGAAATACTCTAATAAACATACATTGTTTCATCCCTTGCAAAAAGGAAAAGGCATTTAGGTCCTGTTAAAATGATAAAAAGCATTACTCCATACAAGCAATGTGAGGTATGAGGAGGATACAATTCTATATGCTGAAATTGGGAAGACACCTTAATCAAAAGGAAGAAGCTTTATGTTTTGTGTATGTACTGTATATTTGCGCCACTGTGTACCTATTGATGTGTATTAGGAAGTTAGGGAGCGAGAAGGTACTTTTTCAGATTACGGACCAAAATACAACTACTCTGCCCCCACTGGCCGAACACAGGAATAACATGTCAATCATCACCTCATCCTACATTTCTCCTTGCATGTTAGTTTGATGTTTTTTTTTCTTCTTTCCATCTTCTGATCACACTGTGCACACAACTGACTCAGATCAAAGAGCAGCTTCAAAGCCGGAGCAGGAAACTAGAGCTAAAGGGGTTCTCTCTCTCTCTTTCTACCTCTCCCTCTCTCCTCATTTCTCAACACTTCTCTTCAAACGGCTCAGGCGAGCCGAGTGCTGAGCGAGGCAGTGTCTGCCTGAGCCAGGCTGTAGCCTCTTCACCTTTACTTTTACTTTATCTCGCTAAGACAGTTCTCAGCAGAGTGCCAGTGCTGGGTATCACTGAAAAACCATGTGGCTCCCAAAGCACTGAAAGGACTGTGCCCGAGTCGAGGACTAATAAGATCAGGAACACTAAGCAGGTGGGTATCTAAGGCCACAGAGAAAAGAAGCACCTTTCACCCACTACTGGTGTTTATCATGCTCTCAACACACACAATTGCAGTATACTGTGCAAACCTATAATACTACCTATTTTCAAGTACTTGATGTAAACAACAAGCAAACATATATCCCAGAAACAAAATTAAATGGCGTATCCAGAGGATGCAATCTACAGTTTGTTGTCATCCAGCTAGAAGGTTGAAAGGTTACATCAACCTTTTAACTTGAGACGTTTTGGTTTAAGTCAGGAGACGCACCCACACAACATGAAACATACTAGTTTTTTATGTCTTTCATGTTTTTTTTTCCTCATTCCCAGATCCCTTTTCTGCTGCTTATGTTCCGTACCTTTCACAAAACTCACCATTCCAGTTATAAGAGCCTCAGCTTTGACCGGCTCTACACTCCAACGTGAGAGCTTCGAGAGCTTTGCTCCCTCTATAAAGCATGAACCGATTTTTGACACGTTAGTGAACAATTTGAAACAACAGGATCTTTTGGCACTTGTTCAAACTAAACCCACGGAGCTAGACGTCTTATTGTCTGTGTGAGGACATGGGTGGTGGTCGGGTAAAAAAAACTCCCATCAGCTAACACCTCAACGGGCCAACTAGAGCTGGCAGGACTCATTGGCACTTGATAAAATCAAAGATGGACCCTTAGAACACTTCTGATGTGTGATAGCATGCATGACAAGTACACATATAGTTGATCAAGTTCCCAAAGAGATACACACTGTGGTTATATAAATGAGAGTTTCAGCCTACAGAGACCAATTGCTCTTGTCTGGTTCCTACTAACTGCAAGCTGCACATACTGTGGCGTATGAGCAGCGGAGTCACAGCAGCGACGGCCACAATGCAGACGATACACCCTCTCCTCTAGCAGAAAAGTGATTTGGGGTAAATAAAGTTTGGGAAGCAGCTGGATGGGCTGGGGCCAGGACGGACAAATGGAGTTGTTCACTTGATGAGCTACTGCAAATATCTATGGAGCTCGCTTCCACCGAGCCCCTTTCTGTTTGCAAAACTCAAATAGACATACAAACAAACAAACAAACTAAAAACATTTGTACATTCACATACACTGATTGGCCAGTATCAGCTGGTACATACACAGATGACCTAACTGCTGAAAAAAAAGCCTTGGACACCAGATTGATGCTGATTTAAGGTCATCTCCTAAATACACTATAGACTTCATCTCCGTCACCCTCAGTTTAGGTGCAAGCATGCCGGCTGAACTGTGACCACCACGAGCGGAGTTCCGTTGACTCTTCCAATGATGAGCACATGTTTCATGTTTTCCTGTACACTTCTGATTGGATAAAAAGCAGAGGGTTTTGTACGAGTCACGTGAAGCATCAGTCCAAGAAGGGAAGGAGTGAGAGAAGACATGGGCCACGGCCCGTTTCACTACCGCACTACGCTGATGGAGTGTTGCACTCTTAATGTCTTTATACAACAACACGTATGGGATCCTGGGTGGATTCTTTTCAACTGCAACTGATAATATTCAAATGTACAAGTACAAAAATAAAATCTGAGAAAATCTGAAAGCAAACTCAGCTGTCCAACATGAGATCTGCTCCTCTGCTTCTCGCCTTTTTTTTGTCTCCGTTTCACACTCAAATGTGACTTTCTGTCTGGGTGGGGAATAAATTTGTTCCTCCATTTGCTCTCACCGTCTTGCAGGAGTCTTCCTCAGTATGACACAAACACACACTCATGCACACACACATACACACGCGCACACACACACACACACAAAACATACAATTTCCTGTCAAACTGAGAGAAACGGAGACAAAAAAAAATAAAAAAAATAAATACAAGCCATGTTGTTGCCTTCTCTGCTGATGCCATTATTAGCTCCAGCTGCAGGGCCTCTATCTTAGTCTGTGGGCCCTTAGCTGGTGCCATCATGGAAGGAGGTGAGAGAATTACAAACTAAAGCAGTTGTATGTCGGTCCGGCTTTGGATGCAGAGAGGTCCCAGGTCTGGTTCGTGGTTGTAGCTCCCACGATGAGAGGTAAGTAATTCGGGACCGTTTTGGGAGGCTCTGTGGAGACTGTGGTCCTGTCTCTCTCGTCCTCTCTCTCTCTCTCTCTCTTTGAGTGGCGGTCACTCTCAGCTCTCGAGCGACATGGCAGAGATGAGCTGCTCCACCTTGTAGGCCAACTTCTGCTTCCTCGCCTGTTCATCGTGCTCCAGGGCTGCTGTGATCTGAAGAGAAGAAAAGACTATGGTCAACAAACTAGAATTACCGTCTCGCTGTTGTTTGCCTCGACCAACCAGTCAAGTTGCAGTTTACATCCACATCTGTCCAAAATGTCATCACTTCATGATTTTATACCCATTAGACAGTTGTGTGACATTAGCATATGAGTTATTGAATTATGGCCAAAAACCTGAGTCCAAGTGGACGTTTGTGCCAAATTTGAAGAACTTTGCTCAAGGTGTTTCTGAGATATCACGAGAATGGGATGGACAGACAACCCCAAAAGATAATACGTCCTCGCCGGCGACACTGACAGAGAGATGGATCGCCTGAAAACATAATGCCTCCAGCCACTGCTGTCGCAGAGCGGACACATAGAAATAGATAGTGTGACTGCATCCTTGTTGGTTATGATACGTTTATCAAATTAGAGCTGATAACGTTTATTAGAAAACTGTGTGTTTCCTCACAGAGTAGAGCTTGGTCTTTTAGGTTTGCATAGGCAAGTCACATGAAAGAGAAGAAAAGAATTACATCACTAACTTTGTCTTTGACGACATGGAGAATATTTGTGTGTTAGCCTTTCCCGTTTTATCTTCTGAGCCCATTTCTTGTAAATTTGGCATTTGTCAAGTCGGGTTCAAAAGGAATTCAGACAGGCTCTCCACCTCTTCGTTCTCTCATCTGGTGTCTGCCTTGTCAGGATGAATCCATGTCAGAGTGGCAGCAACACACATGGCAAAGGCCTTTAATATGAACATAAAACAGCAAACAATACTACAATATGGGCCATGTCGTCATCACCTTTGATATGGATGTCTGTGTCCAAGGGCCGGAGCTTTTCTTTCAACATAAGGTTTCTAGTTTGCAACTGTAGATCCATTTCACATTAAACCACATTAGACTGGTATGCAGTGTTTCACTCAATAATTCATGATTCAAACAAAATAATTAATTGACCCCTCTTAAGCAAAGTCATTTCAAATATTCTGAGGTAAAGAGATAAATAATAAATGAATGTGGGAGAAAAACTGTCGCCCACAATGCACCATCTATTCATGTTGAACACACTTTAGATTAATCACCGAATTTCTTTTTGCCTTTACTCATTCATTTATACTTAGGGTCACTCAGGTGCTCAGCAAAGGCACGGGCATATATCATAATGATATATTATTCTTACTGATAAAATATCTGGTTTGGACGAGCATTTTGTCAACCTAAAGAAAACAGTGCTGCGTCTATTTATGTGCTTTGAAAGATTTTACAAAGCATGTAGTGTCAAGTGATCTAAATGTCATTTAGGTGTCCTTCAGTCAATGAGAACCACACTTTCAGTTTTCAGAGGTTTGTTTTTGGTGGGTCGGTAGCTCCACCCCCTTGCAGTAAAATTTGACTGACTGCTTGTTGTCTGGAAAACATGTCAGCAACATTGTTGTTGCCGACATGTTTTTTTTGCATAGCATGTCAAACCTTTGCTTGCTGGCTGCCGTATTGCAGAACACAGTATCCGTCAGAACGCCTACCGTCTTCCGCTCATCTGCTTAAGTGCTCTTAAAGGCTTGGCAGCTACAGGCAGAGTGGTTCCTCCTCCTCATTGGGCGCCGATAGCAATCTATTATTAATCTGTATGACTGTATGCAGGTGCAGCTCCCACTGCCATCTCCCAAAATCCATGCAGCTCTGGCCTGGTCAGCCCTTTGTGAAGGGCTGAGTTAGAATGAAGAACCGTTAATGCTAGCTGAGGTTTTTACACACTGCACTCGGGGAGACGGCAGATACTGCAGGATTGATGGGGTACATGTGTGTAGAGCGCATGTGTGCAAAATGAGTGTGAGTGTGCATATGTCTCGACGCATGTGGGCATCAGACAGCTACAACTGCAGAGGCAGCAAAAGTGGGTGGATGAGATTCATGGAGAGCAAAGGGGAAGCTGACTGGATAATAGGTAAAAAGAAAAGGAAGTACAGGAAGGAGTTACAGAGAAAATAAGAGAGAGAGAGAGAGAGAGAGAGAGAGAGAGAGAGAGAGAGAGAGA